TGTTGGTTCTCCAGAAAAACTGGTTGGGCACTGGGTGAAACAGGATTCTGGGTTTGACGGACCACTGCTCTGATCCACAAGGCCCATGTTCAGTCCCCCAGATGAAGAAACGCTCTCAAGGGTGAAAGTAAGACTCTATCCATCAATCAGATAAAGCTTAAGAAGTAGGGAGCAAAACAGAATCCATCCTCCTTCTGCACCTCTATTTATTTTATTTTAGCATATTTATACCCTACCCACCCTGCGAACAGGCTTAGGGTGGCTTACAAAGTCGGTACAATGTACCTGGTATACATAAAACAATTAAAACATTTTAAACAGTTTTAAAAAAACAGTTAACAATCATACACTTAAAATGCTCGCAGTACTGATCTCCATTTATTAAGCTTTGAATGGTGCGACCTAAATGACAGTCACAGTTCCCCCAGTTTCCCCATTCAGCGGCCTTCTGGCCACCTGCGGAGACATAGCTCTCTCTCTATCCCTATCCCCAGGGCCGACCCTATCCACAGTGATGGTAGATGGTAATAATTGGTGGTAGTGGTAGTGGCGGCTCCTAGTTGAAAGCCTGGTGAAGAGCTCCGTCTTGCAGGCCCTGCAGAACTGTAAAAGGTCCCACAGGGCCCTGATCTCTTCCAGAAGCTCATTCTACCAGTGAGGAGCCGCCACTGAGAAGGCCCTGGCCGCCACGAGCCTGGCATCCTTGGGGCCTGGAATGACTAACCAATGTTGCAACCCCAACTGTAGTGTTCTCTGGGGTCTATTTGGGGAAAGGCGGTCCCCTCGGGTATGTCGGACCCTGGCCATATAGGGCTTTAAAGGTAAGTACCAGCACCGTGAAGCGAATTCGGTATGCTATTGGCAGCCAGTGCAGTGCCTTCAGGACAGGCTGAATGTGCTCCCATCTAGGGAAGCGCATCAAAAGCCTGGCCGCTGCATTCTGCACCAGCTGCAGCTTCCAGATTTGCGACAAGGGCAGCCCCATGTAGAGAGCGTTACAGTAGTCTAACCTCAAGGTGGCCATCGCATGGATCACTGTAGCCAGGTCGTCGCAGTCGAGGAAGGGAACCAACTGCCGGATCAGCCGAAGATAAAAGGCCGACTTAGTAGTGGCTGCTAACTGGGCCTCCATCATTCAGGAGGAATCCAGCAGCACTCCCAAACTTCTGATCTCCGGCGCAGGCACTAACAGTACCCCATTGAAAGTGGCGAGTGGGATCCCCATCCCCAAACCGCTCCGGCTCAGGCACAGGATCTCTGTCTTCGCCACGTTTAACTTCAGCTGACTCAGTCTAAGCCAGCCAGCCACGGCATGCAATGCCCGGTCCAGATCTTCTGGTCTGGAGTCCAACTGGCCGCCCAACATCAGGTAGAGCTGGGTGTCATCAACGTACTGGTGACACCCCAGTCCGTACCTCCGGGCAATCTGGGCAAGGGGGCACATGTAGAAGTTGAATAACATTGGGGACAGCACCGCCCCCTGAGACATTCCGCACTCCAGCGGGTGTTTCCGGGACTGCTGTTCCCCTAGTACCACCCTTTGTCCCCGACCCTGGAGAAAGGAAACAAGCCATTGCAAGGCAAGTCCCTGTATCTCCACGTCAGCGAGGCAATGAGTCAGCAACTGGTGGCTGACCGTATCAAACTCAGCCGACAGATCTAACAACAACAGTGCCGCCAAACCACCCTGATCCAGATGCCTCCGGAGGTCATCAGTAAGAGCAACCAGCGCTGTCTCTGTCTTGTGTCCTGGGCGGAAGCCAGACTGGGAGGGATCTAATACAGAAGTGCCATCCAGAAAGCTCTGCAACTGTACCGCCACTGCCCTCTCAATTAATTTGCCCAAATAGGGCAAATTGGAAACCGGCCTATAGTTGGCCAAATTGGCTGAATCCAAGGATGGTTTTTTCAAGAGAGGGCGGACCATCGCTTCCTTGAGTTCCCCCGGGAGCTGTCCCTCCAAGAGGGACTTGTTGATAATCTCCCATAGAGCACCTCAAAACCTTTCGTGGCCAGCTTTAATGAGCCAGGAAGGGCACGGATCAAGGCTGCATGTGGTTGGGCGTACATTCCCGAGCAATCTGTCTACTTCCTCCAGGCTGAGTGGGCTGAAAGAGTCCAAAGCCGACAAAGTCCTGCAAGGGGCCTTGAGTTCACTCACTGTTTCAACTGTGGCAGGGAGGTCGCAGCGGAGCGCCAAGACTTTATCCGCAAAATAGCTCACAAATGCCTCACAGCCAATGTCCAATTCCCTAGCATTTGATCTGCCCTGTGGCAGAGTTGTTATCAACCAAATCGTTCTAAACAATTGAGCTGGGCATGAGCTCGCAGACACAATCGTAGTCGCATAGAACTCTCTCTTAGCGGCCTCGACTGCTGTCTCATAGGATCTCATAAATATCCTATAGGATGCTCTTGTAGCTTCGTCTCGAACACGACGCCACTGTCTCTCTAGCCATCTCGGCTCTTGCTTCATAAGCCACAGCTCCTGGGTAAACCAAGGAGCAAGCTTAGAGCGAGGGTGCAGAGAGCGCCGGGGAGCGATCTCATCAATGGCTGTAGAGAGCCAACTATGCCAGTGTTCCACAAGCTCATCCAACGAGCCACCAGGGGGCATCAGATCCTGCAGAGCCATCTGAAGCCGCACTGGGTCCATCTGGCTCCGCGGGTGAGCTAAAATATGCTCGCCGCCTAAACAGGGTCGGGGTGGCACATTCAGACAGGCCCTCAGAGCATGGTGGTCCGACCATGGTAGTGCCAAAGCAGTAATCCGGTCCACCGTTACCCCAGTCGTGAAGATCAAATCGAGCGTGTGCCCGGCCCTGTGAGTGGGGGTCGTTACAAGTTGGGAGAGTCCCAGCGCTGCCATGGACGACACTAGGTCCGCTGCCTGAGTGGAAGCTGCGTCATCGGCATGGACGTTGAAATCACCCAAGACTATCCGCCTAGGGTGTTCCAGCGCCCAGCCTGATATGGCCTCCATCAGGGATGGAAGGCTATTGGCTGATGCGTTAAGCGGTCGGTACACCAGCCAAATTGCCACACACCAGCCAAACCGCTACCTCTAATGAGTCTGCCCAACAAGTCACTTCTCCCTCCCCACCATCTTACCAAGTTATGTGGGAGCCAGATAGACTTGTGTTCCTTCAGCCAGCTCCACAGTCCAGAGAGAACGGGGGTCCTGAGGTATGAAAGAGCCGTTAGCACCATCGCAGAAACAGGATACGGATGCTACGCTTGCATCTCAGAACTGTATTTTACAATCCTGTAACCTATTGAGTCTCACCGAGACAAGAGGCTGAGGAATTATGAAAACGACATTTTTTAAATTATCCTTGCTCTTAACCTGACCTTTGCAACTGTCTTATCTATATATTTTTAAAAAAATTATTAGTGACATGTCTTATTCAAACTGATCAATCAATTAATAAAAAAATACAGCCCCAATTAGTATGGCACTGGCTTGAGATATGGGCAAGGAAATCTCCCTCGCTTGTGCTGAACCTCATCAGAAGATAATTTCAGAGGGTAGCCATGTTGGTTTGCAGTAGAAGAGCCAGATTCCGAGTCCAGTAGCACCTGAGAAACCAACAAGATTTTCGGGACATAAGTTTTTGAAAGTCAAAGCTTCCTTCATCTGACAGAAGGAGCTTGGACTTTTGAAAGATCATACCCCCCCAAACCTTGCTGGTCTCTAACGCACTCCTGGACCAAATCAGAAGGTGGCCGTCGAGGTCCTCCTGCCCTGATCTAGGCTCAGGAAACTTCGCCAGTTTTACTCTGAGCCCTGATAGGAAGACGTACACCGTGTACAGGGACAGTATACCTCTGAGAAATAAAGAACACCTGGATATTAAAACCGATAATGTAACTAAAATTAAAAAGTGCTGTCGATTTTCCCCCCCAATCAGAAATCTTGGCTTTTATTAATCAATTGGTTTAATCACTGTTGAGCCACCGAATGATTCAGCCGCACTCAGACCAGCCACTGACTGGCTAACCCATCTCCTTAAATGTGTTCCGAGAGCCCCCGCCACAGGGGCAGATCAGAGCATCACACAGTCATCGCTCGTGGCTGGGTCTGTCACTGGCTGGGAAAGGAATGGGGGGGCCCCCCGCACACAATGCCATTTACTGGAGACCCAAACACCTCCCCCTCTCTTCCATTTTATCCTCACAATAACCCTGCGGTGTAAGTTAGGCTGAAAGAGAAATTGGACCAAGGCCACCCAGTACTCTAGGGCTGCCAAATCCAGGTTGGGAAATTCCTGTAAGTTTGGGGGGGGGGGTTGGAGCCTGGGGAGGGCGGGGCTTGGAGAGCAGCTGGATCTCAGTGGCGTATAATGCCAGAGAGTGCACCCTCTAAAGCTGCCATTTCCCCCCTAAGAGAACTGATCTGTCTCTGTAGTCTAGGGATCAGTTGTAACTCTGGGAGATCTGCCGGCCCCACCTGGCGGTTGACAACCATACGCGGCATGCTTCCACGCACGACTTGGGACGGGAGCTTGGGCCTCCCAGCTCCTAGTCAGGTAATCTAACCACTAAACCAAGGTAGCTTCCAATTAACACATCCATATCCCTGTTGACCTTTGTGAAGTCTCCAATATCCAGTCAAATACAAGTCTGACTACAGCTTGCCCTACAACTGAAGGTCCACATGCAGAGCTTGGTAAATGTTGCTGGGTTGTTTTTAGTTTTTTGTACTAAGCAAGTTCAGCCATGCAATCTAAATTAAGTCAGGTCAGACATTTGCTTTGGGGAGGGGGGATAATTAATTCTGATTGTGCTCTTGATATAGATGGAAGCATCATATAGGGCTCTGAAGCACCACATCTCATCCAACAGAAACCCTGGCTCAGTTCTTAAACCTACCCCTGAGTGAAAGAAATTTCCCAGGTATCACACATATTTAAATCTCATGCTTCCTCCAAGGACCTCAAGATACTTAGATGGGGTAATCTCACAGATTATCTACGCAACTTGAAGGGCTAGAAACTTACTTTTTGTTTAAAATTAAAGCTAAGAGTTTCAGGAGGTTGAACTTCGCCCCCAATATTCATTTCTGCATCCACCTTGTAGGAAGGAAGGACTGCAACATACACACAGCTGTCTTCACAGTCCTTCTTTTTCGGATGACACCTCTGGTGTCTAACAAAGGCCAACTGGTGAAGGAAGGTTCTACCACACTCCAGGCATCTGTAGGGCCTGCTTTCAGAGTGGATTTTCTGGTGTTTACACAGGTCTGATCTTTCACGGAAACTCTTCTTACAGATGCTGCACTCAAAGGGTTTCTCCCCTGTGTGAATCCGTTCATGCGAGACCAGCTGGGACTCGTAACGGAACTGTTTCCCGCACATACAGCAGAGGTGCTTCCTCTCCGAGCTGAGCAGTCTTCCACACGCAGGTAAGTCGGCTCCTTCCTTATCAGCGGATTCGTCATCCTCCATCTCAGGATGCTTCCACTGCCACTTTCCACGCTTGGGCTTACCCTTATGGGCTTTAGGCTTTTGGCTATCAAGTCCGTGAAATCTTCCCAATAATGTCCTATAAGATCTTGCAGGCAAAACCATCCTCTGCTGGGGATCCTTTTCTTCATATTCCTCTCCCACAAGGTCATCACACGCTGGAACAGAAGCACAGGCCACACGTGAGGAGCCAAGGAAGGCAAGTTCTCAAAGAGGGGAGTGGCTGGATCATAACGGCTGGATAATAAAGGAGAATTTCACCCCTAATTTTGATCCACTGGACAAAGTGCTTCTTTCCCCCACTGTTTTAGGGGAGAATGTGGTAATGGGCTGATAGGGTTGCCAGCCCCCCACTGACTGGCGGGGGGGCTTACCAGCAGACACAGGCTGCTGGTGGAAGCCCTTTTTACTATAGAATTTTTGCCCAAATACCGGAGCATCACCGCAATGTCAGCAATGCAGTGACATCACTTCCAGTGCTCACTGGAGATGATATTGCTACATCGCCATTGGTGTGGCCTAGACCTCCCTTCTGCTCCTGGTAAGTCCCTCCCGCCCCCTGCCAGTTGTCAAGGGGGACCTGGCAAAGCTATAACCTGATGACCCCGCTACACTGCAACATAAGCACAGCCACCCAGAAGTGAGTTGCATATATGCACAGCACGGTCAACGCACATTTATTGCAGTTTCTGAACTGGCAGTGTACCCAGGTGGAGCAAGCTTATGGGCCCTGCCATCCTGACTACAGTGCACATACGCAGGGCATTCTGTGCAGAACCCCAGTAACAGTTATTGGCCCTCCTCCTAGTGTCACTGCTTAAGTGTTTTTAATTGAATTGTTTTATCATTTTAACTATATTTTGAATTCCTTAAACATTTTTTTAAAAAAAATTATATTCACCACTTTGTGGACTATGATAGGGTGGAAAGGCGACATAACAATGTTTAAAAATAAATAAAATGAAATAAATATCTGTAACGCAACCAAAGATGGTCTCATATACAGGGACAAGCCGCCTTGACCCAGGAAATGAAAAAAACCACCATAGTTTGGAAAAGAAAATTAAGTAAACTATATAACGAGCTCGAATTTGCATACATTTCAATCGCAATGTCGTAATGTTTCTGAAAATCGGGAAAAGACAAAAATGCCTCTCAGTGCCGCAGCGATTTCTGCTTCCAGTGTCCGACAGGGCCACACTGAGGGCAGCAGCACTTCACAGCCCCACCCGAGTATGCTCATGAAGAGGTGAGGCCAGGGTGGTGCGCGGGAAGCCCGTGGCCTCCAGGCACTGCTTGCTCCCCAGGATCGAGGAAGGCTGCAGGCAGGCTAAGCCTAGCACTGCAAAGGGGGCCAAGCAGATCCTGCTTGCCTGTCATGGTTCCGGGGCCACCAACAATAACAGTTGCCCTGCACTAAGGCAAAAATGTGTGCACTGGAGGCTAAAAAACTGTGAACTAGCGAAACCTAGCGCAGCTTAGAGGGAACGCTGCCTCCCACTGCCTCACCTTCACAGATGCTCTCCCTTTCCTCCACATCCTGAGGATCTGAGGGTAAAGACCCTTGGCTCTGGTCCAGACTGCAAAGACTATTCGGATCAGGAATCGAAAATCCTGGTTCAAGGGGAAAGAATACAAAGTTCATATGAGCAAATCCCAGACTTTGCTTTAACTGGATTTTATTCTTCTTCTTTTTTTTTACTGAGAATGTATGAGAATTCAAGATAAAATGCTTCTCAAACTGCAAGAGTGCTTTGAGTGCATACATCGCAATAATACAAACTTACAGTTCTTTCATCCTTCATGGCACTACATCCAAGTCCTCCTGGAAGGAGCCACCAGTCACACGGTTTAACCAGCTCCCAGAGGCAGTACCATTCCCCTAACTAAACATCCCGAAACCTTTGCTCACTTCCCATTATCTTTCATCATCTTAATCTCCCACTCTGGAAACTATTTTTGCCCCACCCCCTTTCAACTTTATGGCTCCTCATCCTTAGAACTCCTTTTCAATTTTCTGACTCCTTCATTCCTAGAACTCCCTTTCCTTTGCTGCCTGCTCTAGTTCCCGATTCACTGAAAGGGCCCATCTGATTCCACCCTGTGGCCCTAACAGATTTATATGAAACTGCTGCTACCTGTGTGAATGTCATTGTTCACTGTTATAATGATTTTAATGTGATTTTATCGTGAAGAGTCCCAGACTCAGTTTTCTGTGATCCGCCCTGAGCCCGCTTTGGGGAGGGCGAAATAAAAATCACAAAATAATTAATTAAATAAATTAAATTAAATAAATGCAACACTGTCTTTACTTTTCTTCTTTCTTGAGAACACGCCCCTTCTTCCCTGCAGCCCATATGAGAATCCTTACACTTAGACCAACAAGGGAGGGACAACTTCAGAACTTCCTTCCCAGAGGGATTTATCTGTCTGTCTCCCTGTTCAGGTGGGGTAGCCGGGTTGGTCTGAAGCAGCAGAACAAAGTCTGAGTCCAGCGGCACCTTTAAGACCAACAAAGGTTTACTCAAGGTATGAGTTTTCGTGTGCAAGGCACACTTCTTCAGGTACTTCCCTCTACTGGTGTCTTCCGCCAGCCAGTGAGGATTATTTTTTGGCTCATTGGCATATTCCCAATAATGGTTATTGGGCATCCTCCCCGGTTTTTATGTCTTTAATTATTTAAAATGTTTTTAATTCTTCAAATGTTTTACTGTTTTTATGTTCACCACCTTGGGGACACTGATTGGGTGGAAAAGCCGCGTACAAATGTTTCAAATAAATAAATATAGGATTTCCTTACTACTCTGGAGGCTCCTATGTTTAATAAGTTGGAAGCTGCAGCTGAAGCCTTTTCCACAGTCAGGGCACACATAGGATTCTCTTGCTGCGGGAACCGTTAGGTGTACAACAAGATTTGAGATCTCCTGGACATTTTCATCACAGTCAGGGCATCGATATGGTTTCCGCTGCACACAACTATTCTGGCAAGCAGCATCAGAAAGCAAGCTAGGGCTGAAGCTTTTCCCACACTCCAGGCAGTTATAGAGTTTCTCTTCGTCATGGCATTTCAAATGTTTCAGGAGACTTGGCCTGTACCGAAAGCTTTTCCCACACTGGTCGCACTGATAGGGGGTTTCTCCTGTGTGGATTCTCCGGTGTGTATTCACATCAGTGCTCTGTCTGAAGCTTTTCCCACAGTCAAGACATTGATAGGGCTTCTCTCCCGTGTGGAGCCTCTTATGTCGAACAAGGTGAGAATTCCGCTTGAAATTCCTCCCACACTCAGGGCAGGAATACAGCTTCCTTATCCCAGCTCTTGGTTGTGGCAGCGCTTCCATGAAACTTTACTCCCTGGAAGGAATCTTTATTTTTCAGGAACCATCCAGCATTCTTTCCAATGAAAAAGAGCATCTGACTGCAAAACAGTTAATAAAAATCTGTATCAGTCCTCAAAAATTAAATGTAGGCACTTCAAAGCAACAACTGGAGTGGAAAGCCACCGAAAGTGCAGTAAAAAGTAGAGAATCTATATTGGGTTCGACATCCATTTAGTCCAGTGGCCAACTAGCTTTCCTAAAGGGCTGACTAATGGGCCGGAGAAGCCAAGTCCTTCCCCAATGTTACCTCCTAGCACTGATATTCAAAGCTTTACTACCTTTGTGCGTCATACCTTTTCAGCTCCCCCTCTATCAAACGGGCACACATGAAGCTGCCTTTTACTGAATCAGACCAGTGGTCCATCAGGGTCCATATTTACTCAGATGGGCAGCAGCTCTGCAAGATCTCAGGCTGTGGCTTTTCACATCACCTTCTATGTGATTCTTTTAACTGGAGATGCTGTGGATTGAACCTGGCCGTCTGCAAGCCGAGCTGATGTTCTCCCATTGACCTATGGCCTCTCCCTCACTGAACATTTGTGACTGTTGTTTAAGGGCAATGTCTGTGCAAGCACTTGACACTGCAGAGTTACAAAAGGAATTCTTTGTCACCTTGTCTCCTACTAGTTGCTTATTTATTACATTGTTGCCCCTCCTATTGTACAGTGGCACACTGTGCTTTTGGGGCTGGAGCCTCTAACACAGATTGGCTGAGTTGAGCTCATGTGATGGCACAGAACTTTCATAAACATTCCAGTTGTTCAAGGAGAAATGCTGAAGCAAGTTGGCAGTCCAGCTTCTGTAACGTAAGAAAAAGTTACCAGCTTCACAAAGATGAAAAACTCAAAAACTTTGGGGAGCAAGCTAAGAAGGGACCATGACTGAGTGGGTAGAGTATCTGCTGGGCATGCCGAAAGTCTACACACAGGTAGAGGGTTGCAGTATCAATAAGCTAGAAAAAATTAGAACTACTGCAAGTATGCAGTTGTAATACTAATAATCTTCCAAGTGAGTACAAAATTACAAAATATACAACAGTAACATTGTGTATTCCAGATAATCTATAGGTGATGGACGAAATTCCCCGGAGTTGGTGTTCCGTTTCGTGATAACTTCCTCACACATCAAAACTCCTAACAAGAAACATTCTTACAGTTATTTTAGAGCAATATACCTTGCTACAATCATAATTGTAATTAAAAATCACTCGAATACATACATAAAGAAGTGCCCTCATACAGTCACAAATATTTCAAATGGGTTCTTCAGAATTTACTCCCAAAAGTAAATTTCAGAAAAGAATTAACCCATTTTTCAACATGTTCTACAAAGGGGGTTGTCTACCTTTTGATCTGTAGTTGTGGATTGAAGTATGTGGGCCAATCCACACGCGCGTTAAAAACACGTGTACTGGAGCATAAGTCTCGCCTCAGGCACAGATGTATGGAAGCTCCACTTGTATCGCACTTTTTAGAACATAATCATATACGGAAATTACTGTTGCAAAGGGAGGCATACTGGTGTTTTAGATTCAACACCTGCCAACCAGCTGGACTTAATATGTCAATGGACCTGGCTAGCTTTCTGTAAGCACTTAGGCGAAGAAAACAAACTGGGCGATTCTCGTGTCTTAATACATGCCATTTTGTAGTGGTAAGAATGTGTGGAGTTTTTTACTACTTGGACTGCAGGGTTGCTGTTAGTGGTCCCTTTTTACATGCAGGTTCCCTTAGGACGTTTAGTGATTAGCATTTAGAGCATGAGGTATCTTTAAGAAACGAATATAAAAGACTATGGTAATGAGTACCAGATAAGGCCGAGGAGCCCGCATTTACACTTTGGTCTGATATACAACAGGAATGAACACTACAAACGTTTAGGGTAAGAGTTTTTTATTGAAATTGTTAAATAACCTTGGCAAATGTGTTGTTAGTATGAAATGAATTATGTACATGACCACAGTGATCTGATATGAAATTTTATTATAGATTTATGAAGAACCCATTTGAAATATTTGTGACTGTATGAGGGCACTTCTTTATGTATGTATTCAAGTGATTTTTAATTACAATTATGATTGTAGCAAGTTATATTGTTCTGAAATAACTGTAAGAATGTTTCTTGTTAGGAGCTTTGATGTGTGAGGAAGTCATCACGAAATGGAACACCAACTCCGGGGAATTTCGTCCATCACCTACAGATTATCTGGAATACACAATGTTACTGTTATTGTATATTTTGTAATTTTGTACTCACTTGGAAGATTATTAGTATTACAATTGCATACTTGCAGTAGTTCTCATTTTTTCTAGGGCATGCCGAAAGTGTCAGGTTTAATCTCCAGCATCTCCAGTAAAAAAGAGCAGGTAAAAGATTACTTTAAGGTCAATGATGAAGAACTTGACATTGTTCAAGATTTTCTGTTCCTTGGCTCCATTATCAACCAAAAGGGAGACTGCACACAAGAAATCAAAAGGAGATGGAGACTGGGGGGGGGGGGGGGGGGGGGAACAACCATGAAGGAACTAGAAAAGATCCTTACGTTTAAGGATATATCACTGGTGACCAAGACCACATTAATTCATGCCATAGTATTCTCCATTACTATGTACGGGTGTGAAAGTTGGACAATGAAGAAAGCTCACAGGAAGAATCATAGAATCATAGAGTTGGAAGTTGACTCATTTGAAATGTGGTGGTGGAGGAGAATTTATGGATACCAAGGACCACCAAAACGACAAATAAGTGGGTTCTAGACCAAATCAAGCCTGAACACTCCCTAGAAGCTAAAATGACTAAACTGAGGTTATCGTAATTTGGTCACATTAAGAGAAGACAAGAGTAGATGGAAAAGATAACAATGCTAAGAAAAGTTGAAGGCAGCAAGAAAAGGGGAAGACCCAACATGAGATGGATTGACTTGATCAAGGAAGCCTGACAGCGCTCAGTTTGCAAGACCTGAGCCAGGCAATTAACAATAGGCCGTTTTGAAGGAAATTAATTCCCAGGGTCCACAAAGTTGGAAGCTACTTGATGGCACACACACAAACACACAAGGTGATATGAAAGACCTTAGCTTAAGATCATGAGGTGCCACCGTCAGACAGAAAAAGTAACACTGAACTTGACAGTCCAAGAATCTAATGCAGTGCAAGGCAGTTTTGTGTATGTTTGTGGGTGTGGCTGTGGAATTGCTCTTTCTGCCATATTGCCAATGGCCTTTTCTCCAACAGACAAAAACTTGTAAGGTGGAATTATCCCAGACCTGTATTAAACACAATGTACTATCTACATGTAATGGACAGATGAAGCAACGAAATCTGGCCATCAGTTCATCAAGTAGGTCTATTCCAATAGGCGGTAGGGGTCTTTCTCAACCTCCCTGGCCTGAGGATTGAAGCACAGACTTCTGTATGCCAACCACGTGTGCTCTATTTGCATAGGCCCTTTCCAAAGTTAAAAAAAGTCCTGACTTTGAGAGGTGTGACATAAGCTTTGCTGTAGGAGAGGCTGGCTCCCAGCTGCTTCTCACACCTGCTTTTTGTTGAACAAAACTGATACCTTTCAGTCCATTGAGAACAGGGAATATCGACCAAAATCAAAAGCATCAAAAGGCTGCTACAAAGCGCTGACAGGTGTTACCTTTGTCCTTTCAAGTAGTTCTGTGCACTCACCTAGTTGCCTGAATAGTCCAAATTTGTCTGAGTTTGTCAGGGCTGTGAAGCTAAGCAGGGTCAGCCCTGGTTAGTACTTGGATGGGACACCGCCAAAGAGAGAGGAAGGCAATGGCAAACCATCTCTGCTCATCTCTTGCCTTGAAAACCACTGCAAGTTGATAGCAGTTAATATGTACACACTAGGGGTGTGTATTCAGCATAAAACCAAGCTGAAAAAATACTGGTGTTTTTTGGGTATTTTAAAGCTGATTATTAATTGGGGCTTAATTATGGCTATCCAAAATGGCCAAGCACTGAAACTCCCCAAAATATTTGGGATTTTTGGGACCACTGGATAGCCAAAGTTAAAAGGCAGTCCCTTTAAATGCTTACTGGGTGAACTCAGTACTGGAGAAGGCATTTAAAGGGACAATGAGCCATTTAAACACCTTCAGAGTTCACTCCCCGGCCACACAGTTTGCAGAAGGTATTTAAATGCCTTTTTCCTCCATTGGAAACAATGGAGGATGGGGGCACTTTCTTTCGGGGCCCACAGAATTGTACCCCTGGTCCAATGGTTTTGAGATGGGGTTTTTTTGAGAGGCACTAGCAGCTATGCTGCAAATTAGGTACCTCTACTGCAAAAAACAGCTTCCCCAGCCCCAGATACCCCTGGATTGATTCTCCATTATACTCTATGGGGACCGTTGACTATAACGTCTATAACCATAGGGTATAATGGAACTGAAAAAATTGAGGTTTCCCAAATAATTCCCTACTCCGAATACTATACTGGTATTGGGATTCGGGAATATTGGGAAATACCAACATTTTTCGGGTTCAATATACCCAAACCCAAAAAATACCGTGGGGTTTGGGGGTGGGTTTGCACACCCCTACTGCACACTTGCAAGAGTAGTACATTGGAAGCACACAATTTCGTAAATACTAAAATTTCAAGAAAGTTGTCAGATTACCACAGCCAATAGACAAAAGGGTGCCATTCATCCCCCCCATGGTGTTCCAGATCTTAGCCAACTCAAAGCAAGCCCCATGACTTGAGCCCTGAAATACCTGTGCTGGGAAGAGGCAGAAAGCGGGCAAGAGACGTCACGGCATTTTCCCAGGCACTGATTCAGCTTCACGCTGAGCAAATGTGATTTCCGAAGTCCCACAGCGGCCAATTATCAATAATGGCGAAATTCAACAGTCGCCCGGAAGGGGCTCCTTCCTGATGATGTCCCGCCCTGAAGCAAGATGCTAGCTTTTATACTCCTCCTGATCAGAGTTCCTCCTTGCTACCCCCCGACTCCGCAACACTCTTCCCCGCGCCC